CCAGACATTTCTCCGGCATCTTCAGTAAGTCTTTCCATTCTTAGCACCATACTGCAACTCGTCAATCCTTTAACCGTTGTGGTGTCTCTCTGTCTGTCCTGATGCACTCACTTATCCTGTATCCTCATGCAACACACACACACACACACCAAAATCGTGGTCTTCGTTTCTGTGATGATTAGGGTTTAGCGTCTGAGTTTGCGTAATCGCGTTGGTTTATTTTGGTCGACGAGCTTAGCATGCCTACTGAATGAGTGTGAATTTGTATATGAAAACCAAGATGTGGTGGCCACCCCTTTGTTCGCATTCTCCCTTCGATGTACAGACTGGGTGTGGGAATGCTTTTGTAACGACATTTCATTGTGAAGTAGCTTCGGACGAAGAAATGGTGAAAGCTGATGGTGACATCATCATTGAATTGTCCAGATAAGAGAATGTACCAAAGTGGTCCTATCTCGTTTTCGCCCATTGGTCGTGTTGTCATGGCGACCCGATTGGAGGCATCTTGTCTGAAGTCAACAGATACAGTTTTTATGATAATTGGCAGAGCTAGAGCGTCGACTTGGTACATTGTTGCGCCGGAATTGTTAGTGAGTCCTGCCGTTTTCGGCACCACTCTCGGCTACAACTCGTGAAAGAGACAAATGGAGTCACCTCCTTGATCAACTTCCCGTCGAAACGGTTGTGTTGTCATGCCTCCTTTTCCCCTGCCACATCTTGCCACTCCTGCCCTGACACAACTTCTGACTGGATTTTGTCTGTCGCTCTTCAAGAGATATGCCCTTTTTTGAGAGTTTACTGTGGATCATCAAACCTGCTGTCTGTCTGTGTAATGTCTTTCGCTATTTCTGACCTTTTAGTGTACATTTTCCCGATTGGTATGCCGATTTTTCTTACAATTTCGCCAATTCACGTCAGTTTGCAGAGGCCGCATTCTGTGCAGTCAACTCCCAAACCATCTAATTTGTCTAACCTCTCGCGTTGAGTGGATAAACTTGAGAATAGTGTTGCTTTCTTCACGTGGTCACTAAATTATTCCATTTTATTAATATTACCTTTCACTTTTAAGTAGACCCTCCGAAAGGCATATCCACTTTTGTGTCTCCTTCTCCATCCCTATTTTTCTCTCTTAATCTCCCTTCTTCCGTCGACTTTTCACGGTTAGTGTGTTTCTTTGCCTTGAGACATTTTCCCATTTTTCATCGCAGAATTCCCCTTCAGTTTGTAGTTAAGTTGAGACTGAAAAGTGATTAATATTCCGCAAGATGAACAATTTCCTCCCGAGCGTTCCATTGGAGCGAATGTCTTCAACCTCCATCAAAGGCCACCGCTACTCTTCCTCTACTTCCATTAAATTGGATTCTTTCGAAAATATGTTCTATAAAGTTCAGAAAATCTTCCCATTTCTCTTTTAAAAGCGACCAAACTAGTCGTATCGGTTACGCATAAGCACGGCCGGTTGTTGCGGTGACACTTTGAAGTGATAAGAAGTCCAAATATTTGTTCATAGACGTTTCCGCTGAAAAAACTCCCTCCTGATTCTGGCTGCTTTCGGGATATCCTCTTCTCGGACCAAGATTTCTAGCGCGGAATCGGTGCCTTTTTTTGCAAATGTTGTTTGTATGCATGGATTGTACATCAAACCTTGCCGACAATTCCGACTCTTCCAGTGCCATTTGTTGTATCCTTTGAGAAAATGCATATTATTCGTTTACCTTCTTGCGTTTCAGACATATGAACTCCATCAACTTGTGTACTTCTCCATGCTTCTTGATGATTATAAGCCATTCTTACGCGAATCCAATAAGCTTCATAGTTGGGCCATTCTTTAGTACACAATATTTTGTCCTGTCTCAAAGTTATCTCCTATCTTCTCAGTGTATTGTCTTCTGTACATTCTCACTGTCACACATGCTTTATCCGCTTTTAGGACTATTTGTTCATTTATTTGTAGAGTCCATCTACATTTCCCGTTTTGTCGCTTCAGGCAACTTGTCTGACTGCCAGAAAGAGGTGCTTTAAGACACTTCTGTTGATTTGAAGAGAAAATTTCAGTTTTCTCTTCACGATCGTGCTGATTTGGGGATGAAGAGGAGACGAACCCATCAGGAGGTGCTGTTACTTTGGAAACACCTTTAACTGAACGCGTTGACTTTAACTTGCACCGTCTTATCATCCCATAACGAAACAATTTATTCTCGTGTCTTTGTGTTATTAGTTCTGGGATCCTACGTGACTTGGCGTCGGCCATACTCTGCAATTTGTGTTCAACTCTTCTCTCTTCTTCGTTCTTTCAATTAAGCCTGATCAGTTCTCACTCAGCGGCATTCCACCATTCCACACATACAACGGATTGTCTAATCTATCAATTGCAATGGCCTCTCTTATCGTGTGTGTTTGTGGCAGGCATTCCATAATCAGCCAACGTCTGCGTCTGAGACCATTCGCTTCATTGTGCAGTTTCATGCAAAATGAAAGTTATTTTTCGTATGTAAGTAGAGTTTCGAGACCAGTCTTTCATCACCTTAAACGAAATTGGGTGAATACAGCTCATATTACTGATTTACTGGTTGTCTCGAGACTCTACTCAAATAAGAAAAATAAGTAACATAGTATATTGTTATAGCAAATATACGTTTGCTTCATCGACAATCCCACCAAAGAATGTGATATGACAAAAGGCTGTGTGAAATTGAATGAAAACGTCAGCTCTACTCGCATCATTGTGGGAAAATTCTTCTTTTACCAGTCCTTTATAACCTCAAACGAAATTGGGTTAATACATATCATAAAATAAATGTTTCCACAACAATGCCATCTAGGCGGGGTCATCGGGACCCACTTTTTCTTGGTCTGCTACCATTTGATTTGACTAAGCCATCAAGGCGAATGCATCTTCGTACCAGAATCGCTTCATCACACATTTTCGCACGAAATAACAGTTACCAAGAGATTCCTCGAAAACCACATGACTCCGAATGTGTACAAAGAAAAATCGGGAACCAGTCAAACAAATCACGAATCAACCGAATCAACCAAATGAGAAGATCCGGTTACAAGAAGTGCGTTGCATTGTAGCCGGCCAACATTTTGGACTTTCTTGAAGCAGGGTCTACAGCGGGACATTCGAGACCTGAGCACGACGGTGTGCTGATGAAAAGTGTGCATAAATCCGGACCCGACAGCCAATTTACGAATCATTGTCTCTCACCTTTCAGACGAAGTGATAGCTTCAATTGAATGATATTATCAAAGGCTGTTATAAACGCTGTTTTTATGCATAAGTTCGGTTAGATTTTTATCACATATAAAGGACAAACTTATTTCTCTTCCAGATTCGTGATGAATTCGGTAGAATTATTAGACGCATAAAAAAGGAGAGAGACGGAAGCGTATGGGAGTACAACTACGGTGAGTTAAATTTAGAGAAAAGCATTTGATTAATTTTTGTAATCCGTCATTTGGGTATGAAATGAAAACCCCGGTTTAGGCCACTTGATTTCATTCCATAATGACCCTCTCCTGTGCGTGTGAAGGTAAATTCGCCTAGTCCCTTCCCATCACCCCCAGCATGCTTTGAGCCCAAGGCCTGTGTGCCCATAAATGAGCTCGAGGCCCATCAGTGTCCTCGGGTTACGGGGCGAACGAGCCTTTGGAGGGTCTTGATGTCCGATTCGTTGGTATCATGTCATAACAAAAACATTTTCTCTTCGTTGTTACAATCGTGGGCCAGATCAAGGAGTAAAGTGTGATGAGATGTGGCTCGATCATCCAAATCCGTGCCACAATTATCACCTGTTTGGCATGGCAGAGGGGATTTGGGGGATTTAGATTCGAGAGTTGATCGCTTATTTACTCCTCATCACTGTTCGTGGTTTTTACGTTCGATGAGTTAATTGTATTGTCCTTACTTTATATTGGTTTATATGTAAATAAATTTATGCCGTGCATAGAGAGTATGTTTTTTCCACTCTCATTTCGCTCATTTCGTTTGATTTTATTTGATAATTAAGGGAATACCTAAAGTTAACTTTTAGCATGCTTACTATTGTTCGAATTTGTACATATCTAGTGTTGGCTGTTTTTTACTATTGTTAATTTTATATAGTTTTTTTGAGTGCTATTTATTGGTATTAAAAAAAACGATATTATTTTATAATAACATTATTTTAATCCTTTATTCTATCCCTTTTAATTTATTCTGTTTGTAAGTGTAGCCGATTTTCTTTATTATCTTTCTTTTCATATGTTGGTGGCAAATAATAAGTAAACTTTTAAGGCTTGAGAATATTTTTATTTTATTTCCATTGGCTTGGGGTGATTTATATAAATCTTCTGACCTTAAGGAGACTTTAATTTGGTATAAAAGTGCATGAAGAAGAGCTTCGAGGGCCAATTACGGCAGAAGACAACGGCTGATTTATGTTGTATCATGGCAGTTTAGCTTTAACACGACGTTTCGGTTGATGCCGTACACGAGACATCCTCCATAGTTTCGGGAGAAAGCGGGCTGAGCTCCCGTCAATCCAATGACGGACAGCATTAGAACTGGAACGTGTTATTGTCAAAGTCTCAAGTTAACAAACCCCAAGTCAAGGAGGACTGTACAACTCTATCTTATCTCCTATTTAGGTGAACTGGTAGAAAGCAATAATACATAAAAATGGGATTATTTAGCTAGTTCTGCTTCATATTGCGAAAGATAAATTCTCTTTGAGTGTAGCTGTGTGTGTGTTAAGCTTTCGTGCGTCATATGACGAACATCATCAGAGCAAGGTATCATCTTCACAACAAAATTCAAGCTAACGAATCAAGAAAACTCACCGACAAATCCCTCTACATCCGGCCTCTTCGATCAAGTATTAAGTGATTTGCTTAGTTACGGTCATATGTCAACTTCGAAGCCTGTGAGTGTGTCTGTCTCTGTATGTGTATGTGTATTATGCACGAAACACACAGTGATGGCTCAGAGTAGGGAGGACAACAAAAATTAACGTCTATTTTTGGCCAGCAAGGTTTGATGACCCCAATTTCTCCCTTTCTACTTACATGTTATAACCATGACTCCGATTGCCCAATAAGTCCCAAGCTGGTATGAAGAAGCGATGTGATATTGTCCTGTGCATCTTTTAATCAGACAAAGACGGCAACGTGACCGTAAGGAAAGTGAAGCAAAAAGCGGGCGGAAGAGCCGGTGGAGATGCTGACGACCTGGACACGTCGGAAGCCTACGCGGCGGAGGACGACTACTTCGAGACGGGACCGGATGGAAGCCTGATTCTGAAGCCGGGTAGGAAACGTATCGACTTGAGCCGAATCCAGAGGGAGGATCTCATCAGAATGGGCATCGACCCCAACCTACAGAAGTCTGAAATCATGCGACTGTTGAAGGTACAGTTGTTCAGTCAAGCAGCGAAACTTTTCTAAACTTAAGTCATTCGCATAAAGAGCTAGCATGCTGATGAGGCCAGAGTTGATGGAGAAAAAATCCAATCTTAGAAGAGCACGTAACTGACGTTAATTGGAGATACTGAATATGAGCCATTTAAGCATGGCCTGTACTTGGCACTTGACAACATCATGTAAAGACTTGCTGGAACTTACCTACTACCGCGTCCTCTGCCCTTGAGTATCCATGATGATTTCCAGCATCAGATCGTTGAATTGGTACATTCCCAGACTTTTCTCTGGCATCATCAGCGAGTCTTACCATTCCCAGAAACCAAGCTATAGCTCGTGAAGGAGACAATACGAGTTGTAGCTTGATGGTGAGATTGGCAAGACCCACTGACGACGCCGGCGAGACGTTTGGGAATGTACCAAGTCAACGGTCCGATGCTGGAAATCATCGTGAATACTCTAGCAGAGGAGGCAGGGCAAGATGCACTGTATAGGGTCGACCTGTTGCTCCGGCCAAGTTGCCTCAAAATTATAATTCAATAATTAATGAGAATAGCGAAAACTGCTTTAAATTAAGTAGCATCATTGGCTTCAATAAAAAATACATACTTAATAAACCAACATTCCCACTGCAAACGATGAGTTGTGAGAGAAGCCTTGCTTTGAATGACTCAACTGCACTTGACTTCCTGGCACGTATGGCCGTACAATCAAGTGGAGTGGTGACGTCGCCAAGATACTAGCAACCTGTTTTCGAATCCCGCAGGAGGTGCTGATGAGAGGTTAAATGTGCAGACAATTTCAGCCTCGATAAGCCTAGCTTTGGAGGCAAGGTAAGGTGAAAGGAAATAGAATCATGAGGCATACTCATCTGATGGAAAAAAAACTCAAGTTTCAGGCCCGAAATTATCGTAAACCATCTATGCTGACTATGATTTAATTCATGAATTTTCCGTTAATAAATAGTTTTTCGATACCTGAGAAGAGTTACTATATTTCGCGTAGAATAATGAGGGACTGGTAGTTGAAGTTACCCACAATCAGTTAAGTAGTCTCATCTCATCTCATCTCATCTCATCTCATCTCATCTCATCT